CCCCAAAACCCCAAAACCCCAAAACCCCAAAACCCCTTAAATAAGAATTTTATAGAGTATGAAAGGTTTATGAAATAAATAATCAAAGTTATGGAATAAATTATTATACACTAGATCATCTATTATACTTGTCTCTCTTATAGGAATCTTATAGGTCTGAAGTAGATTTTTGTTCACTTTTGGATCTTAAATTTTCTTTGCTATTATTTTCTCTCCTATCAACTCTTAGCTTTATTATATTTTCTGGCTAATACTTAATGCTTATTTATTCAATATTTCTACCATTATATACAGGCAATTTAGGAGTATACTCTACTTTATTTATCTTTTAAAATTATCTGTCCTTCTTCTATGGACTTGGTGAAGATTTTTCTTAAGGTTATTCAATATTCTTTTGCTTTTTCTTTTTCTTTTTAGACTATTTTCTCTAATTTGACTACGATCTTTATTAATTCTACTATTCAATAAATTCTTAATATTTAGGTTCCTTTTTCTTAGATTTTTCTATGCTTTCATCTCTTAATTGAATATACTTCTATTTGTTGTAAGCTGTCTAAATTGAGCGAATCTTGGTATCTCTATATTGATTAAGTCTTTTGAGTCTTTCTTTTATCATGATATCATTGGATTAATTTTGAATCATTATTTAAAACTTTAGTTAATCAATCTTTTAATCCATTTATCTGAAATTCTTGTTTACATTTTAATCGACTAAGTATATTGTTTCACTTTACTTCAATATCCTTTCAGATAGCTATCTCATTTTTGAGTCAAATAATTCAGTCTAAGGAATTCTTTAAGCTTTTAATGGTTATATTACTGGCTAAGGATAAACATACAACATCTATCTTTTCTTTGGAGAAGGGTCTAAAAATGGAAAATTTGGACTTAATTTAACTTCATCCTAATTTTCATCATAGTTTATCTATTATGATAATTTCCGATATTGATAGCCATAATGCTCAGAAAATGAATAATTAATTGAATCTTTTTGATTTCTTGTAATAGGTGTGATAGGGGTCATTGGATCTTCGGTAAATTCAGAGATATATGAATTCTTTGGCTAATGGAAGTTAATTCTATTTAATTCATTTAATTAGCTGCTAAAACTATCGTCTTCAACGAACACATTATGAGTCTCTGAATGCTTAAGAACTATTCTTTCGTTTAAATTTAAATTTTGACTTAGATTTTTATTTTTCATAGTATTTCCAAACCCACTAATATCAATTTTGTTCTTACTTGTCTCCATTTATTTTCTTTTAGCAGGTACTTTATTCTCAGAAATACTTGTTAAGTTCATCTTCAACATTTATCTATCGTCCTAAAATTGTTTTAATGCATTTAATGCAGGTAGATTCCTAGCCTGTCCTGCTTTATATTATCGAATAAATGAAAGGATAGAATGACGAAATTTTTTTCTGATCATAAGTTTAATATTTTCAGGCATTGGTTTATCTCTCGGAGGGCGATACCTAAAAAAATCTAAGTCAGTTTTCTCATTATTCTCTATTTCTATTTACAATTATCTGAATATATCTGAGAGATGGATATGACTTTTCTCTAAGGTCCTAAGTTCTTTGATATTTATACTCTCTACAATGCATGTAGTTCTTGCCCTGAAATTCACTAATTAATGCATAACTTCACTAAATGGAGCATATATGCAAAAGCAACTTCCCTCATTCAATGAATCTAAGTAGATAAGTTCATCTTTGTTGGAAGTATTTGGTACTAAAACCTCAATCTCCCCCGTTTTTAGAAGCATTATATTCTCAACTTTATCCCCTCTCTTTATAATTTCGGTTCCTATTTCATACCTCTTTGGCTTTAATAGATAGGCTATTTCAACAGCACATTGATCATCAATTGTATGAAAATAAGGTATATTCTTTATCATTTTCTTCCTGAATGAAAAATCAAAATCAGTGTAATTTGCTATTCTTTATTTAAAGGCGTTGAATATTGAAGGATAATTTTCTTTTGCTGGCTAGAATTTTTCTCTAGAAATGTAACTCAGCGTACTAAAGTCTAAGGACTTTATCGTAGCAGTTCTTTTCAAATTTGTAATGATACCTACTTCTCCAAAGTATTATCCCACTTCTAAATTTCCAATTATGAAGGTATGAGAATATTTTTCCTCCTTTTTAATTTTTTTCCTATCTTTTTTCTTTTTCTTTACTTTTTTAGTCTGTACATCACCTTGATTACTTGTATTTTCTTATCTTTAACTATCATTAAAAGTTTAGTTATTTTAATTAGAATCAAATTCCTCTTCGTGAGCAGAGAGTGATAGAGATATCGAGGATTCATTATGCTTACTGTTACTATTATTAGCCATGTCATTTTCTGATTGATGATCAGAAAATTCATCGTTTTCCTTTTTACTTGCAGAATTATGATCGGATAATCTACTTGATTGAGCACCAAATGAAAGTCTTGAATTTTAAGAAACAAAACTATGTTTTTTAAATTTTTTACTAAAGACTTAAGTTATCGTACTTTGATTATTCTTCAACTTCTATTTTGAAAAATCATATTTTTTCATTAGGACTTAAACAGATCCCTTGTTTATGAAATAAAGATTGTCGGGTTCTTCACCCTGATATATAACAACATCATTCGGAAGATATAATAGCATCTTTAAATTTTTGCAAAGAAAAGAAATCTCAATCATTGAGAGTTTATCATAAAATACTATTTTCTTTACCAAAGCATTGTTTATTTACAGTTAGATCTAATGCTAAAGAGAAGGAGATAACATTGAGAAAAATTTATCAAGATCTTACATTAAGTCTGGAGTATCATTAACATATTAATAGTATCTCATAATATCTATCTACATTCTCTTGGGCAATTTGATTGATCTCATGACTGATGAGACATTATCTAATTGCTCTTGCAGATGATTATCTTTTTTATTTACTTAAGCCATTAGAGCTGCCATATTTCCAAATAAAAAGGCAATTAAAATATTACCCATAATCACAACAGCAGCTCCAAAAATGTATTAATAATCACTCATTGGCAAAATATCGCTACCAACTAGAAGTAGTATAGCATAATAATAGACAACTGAATATTGATACCAGAGTCTATAATTGAAAAATTCATCAGTCCCATAAAGATCTTGAGCTCCAAAATTGGGAACCCATTCTTTGTCCATACTAATAATAAGGTACCAAAGACAGCAAATCCAATGTACCACAATGAAGAATAAAAACAGTACCTGAACTATTCTGATTCCTACTTTTAATCCCTATTTAAATTTCATGTAAGTTATAATTCTGCCTAATCTAAGTAATCTAATCAACTTCAATAATCCAAATAGCTTAAATTGCTTTTTATTGCCACCTGCTTATTCTATTACATCTTCTGAAATAAAAAGTTCAAATGGTATCACTGAAAGTAAATCTACAAAAAATCTGCCACGAAAGGCATAATTTATTGCAATCTCTCTAGGCTCAGTAATCTCAAGAGTAGTTTTTGCATTTACATAAGTGGTACGAAAATTAAAGATTAGATCAAAGAAGAATATAGAATCTATTATATGATCGATTACTTGATTAAGAACTGTATCGTCATCTAACTTATCTTGAAATGCAACATTAAAAGGAATTGCAAGGCAGTTATACAAAGTTAGTAATATGATTATTAAATCCCATCTCATTCTAAGTTTACCGTTATGTCTCATCATATACTTAGGCAAAGTTGGCTCAGCATCTATTATAATGATATACTCTGGCTCTTATTAATCCAACTCTTCCTCATCAAAAGCCAAAGTAAAGTTTTCTTAAATTGAGTTTTCCATTCTAAGTTAGGAATTTGAAGCATTAAGCTAGCTCTATCTTTGCATTCTATGAGACTACTCATCATCAAGATTTCGCTTTGTTGCAGATCTTACTCTTTCAGAAATCCTCTCATTCCTTGATTAAGCATTTTATGATAAGATTCCACTCTGTCTAGAAAATGAAGATTTCATTCCATTTCTCTATTAGCTATTTAACATGGGATTTATTATTTATCTTCCCTCTAAAGTATTTCTTCTCTGATTAGACTTATATCAACCTTACTAGATTTTAAATTTAGGTGGCTCTTGAATTTGTGGATATACTAATCTTACTATCTGCTAATCATCCTCAACTATTTCTTGCAATGGCGATTACTCTTATTATGGTTATTAAAACACCTCGAAATCCCGGTCCATCAAAAATTTTTAAGTACTCATTCTACTGCTAACTCTGCTAGGGCTTGTATTTCCTATGTTATGTCTCAGTGATTATGTTCTAGAGTAATAATCTGGTCTGAGAAATTGATCATTAACTACTGGAGTATTCTCCTGCATGAACGAAGAGGTAATAGAATTTTACGAAGACTAATTTTAATCGTAAGAAGGAGAGTTTTTGTCATAAAAACGCATCTTATTGAATGAACCATCAGCATATGAGATCCTCTTTTTGTCTGTTGATTTATTCACATCCATAAGAGAATCTTTGTTCTTATTTATAAAGGATGACTTCAAAGTGTTTTATTTAGTTATTGGCTAGTTCATTTTGTATATTTAATCTCCTTAAGAAGAATCATTTGACATTTTACGATAATAAATTCACTTCCTATTTATATTCATAACTTCTCAATCTTAAACTAATAAAAGCAGGCTGGGGTTTTGGGGTTTTGGGG